TTGGTTTTGGAAGCTGTTCCCTCTTTTTTACCAGACCTAGTGCCAAAATGTTGCAAGCAAAGAGCAAGAATAGGAAAGGCAGAGCCCCTCTCAGGACACTGGCTTTGGGTCTGCAGGGAAGGTGTCCCCACACTCCTGGGTGTAGTCTGGTTTCATCAGATTTCAGTAGGTGGTGTGTGTGTGGCTGTTGGGGAGGATATGACGATCAGCATCACCTTGCCTCTACCCATTGTTAAGCACCCTTGGAGGGACCTGAGTATCTCCCAGGCTCAAACTCTTTCCAGGGTAGAGCATCTCATCACATGACCCATTGCTCCCTTGGAGAAAAATCCCACAGTTCCAAGCCTTCTGCCAACCCCAGGCTTCTTTACATGTGTCATGAGAGCCTCTGCTATTATCTTCTACCCTCCTACGTATCTCAAAATTCTGAGTTGGGGTGGCAGTTTCCACCAACTGCTTCTGAAGAATATTACCACATAGTCCCTTCAAGCTCTGCTGGTGTAAGGAACATTAGAAGAGTTTTCTGTCTTCATATACCTCTAGAAAAAGCCCACACTTTCTTGGCACTGGGAATTGGGAAGAGGTTATTGGGAAAAGCTGTAAGCCAGAGCCTCAGCCTTGGAGAAGATGCCTCTCTCTTCTGGATCCCTAATGGGATTTTGAGTCCATTTTAGGGACCAGGATGCTCACTATGGTGACTTTCCCTGGGCTCTGAGAAGAGGAGGAGGTCAGTTCCTCAATCATTCATTTATTAATTTATTAACAATGTATTTATTCAACATGTATTTATTAAACACAGACACTGCACTAGGGACTGGAAATACAGTGGTAAACTAGACACATACCACTTCCCTGGAGTTGAGGACTTTATAATGTAAGGCGGGAAGTAGAGATAAAGACAAATAAACAAAGTCATTACAACTGTGTGAAGGAAACAGTCAAAAATGGGAGATAGAAAATTCAGGAGGTAGAAGAAGGGGCTTACTGTGGACATGGTGCTTAAGGAAGGCTTCTTTGAGGAGGTGACATATAAAGAGGTGACTTGAAGGAGCCAGAAAAGCAGAGAATGAGAGTAAACTAATATAGGTATAGGGATGTGCACAAGCACAGCATATGCAACGGTCCTGAGGCTATACAGAATTTGGCATATTCAAGGAACAGAAAGATTGGCATCACTGAGAATAGTAATAGGGAGAAAGAATTACCTTGGAAGATAGAGGAGTTTGAGGCCATCCAGGCAACCCTTAAAACTGTGGAAGGGGATTTGCTTTTCCTTCTAAGTGCAAATGGAGGCACTGAAGGAGTGAACATAGAAATGACATAGTTTAGATTTACATTTATGGAGATTACCCTGACTGGCTCACGGAGCCTGGACTGAATGGGCAAAGGGAGGAGTAAATGGAACTCACCAGTCAGGAGTCTGATTTACAGCACCAGCAAGCTATGGTGGCTGCCTGGTTTGGATTGGAGAGTGGCAGAGAAGCTGAAGAGAGATGGGTGGATTAGAGACCTTTTGAAGGTAGACCTCTTTAGAGATAGACTTCATGGATTAGAGGTAGGGCTCAAAGGAAAGGAGGAAGCAAGGGTGGCTCCTAGGTTTCTGTCTTGAGTAACTGAGATGGAGAAGATGGGGTGTGGGAATGGGCATGTCTGATTCCTTCAAAATTCCTATGGTGAAATCCTAAGGCCCAATGTGATCAGATTAGGAGGTGGGGACTTTGGGAGGTGATTAGATCCTGAGGGCAGGGCCCTCATGAACAAGACCAATAGCCATATGAGAAAGGCCTAGGAGGCTTTCTCCCCTTCCACCATGTGAGGCCCACAATGAGAAGTCTGCAACCCTCTGAGGGCCCTCACCTGACCATGTTGGCACCCTTATATCACACTTCCAGTCTTCAGAGCTGCAAGACATAATATTTGTTCTTATTATGCCTGCCAGTCTATGGAATTTTGTTACAGTAGCCCAAACAGACTAAAACCTCCCTCGAACTAGGAGAGCCAATAAAATATCTGAGAATACCTCTTGGGTCCTTCTATGGTTTCTCCTCTTCCTCCTCTTCTTCCTCCAGCACCACCACCACTTCCTCACCTCCTCTGTGAGAGGGTGCAATGTAGGGTGAGCCAGCTGTCTACCTCCCGCTCATCTCCAGTGCTCTTGGGATTTCCGAGAAGTTAATATTTATAAGAACAGCCTAGAGTTATGTTGTGTTATTTTTTGTCACTCTCTACTATTCTTTCTACACATTCAGCTATTTACAGAACTCACATTCTTTGCAGCCCTTCTCAGAAAACCTGCTTACTCTGTGTCCATTTCATTGCCACTAGAAGCCTCTCACAGCCATCCTTGGGGTCATTTATGCTTAGTCCTGACCTTGTCAGAGTAAAAAACTGAAACACTGGATTCCCCTGTTATCATTTTCCTGTGCCCCTAAGTGGTTTATGAGTATGAATGAATGTATGTTGCTGAAGGCTTGGACAAAATCCAAGAGGGAGATGCCATGGAGTCACTGGACGTTGGCTGGAAGCCCTCTGGGGAAGCTCTGGGTTGTGCTTTGTTTCTGCAGCCATCCCCTCCTGAGAGAATATCCTAACATGATTGCAGTCTCCTAAGGTTAGACTGGCAAAGAAGGAGGAGGAAGAAGAGTTGAGACAGAAAAGTTCCTAGCCAGCTTTTCTCTGCTTTCCTTCCCCACCTTTTCTGAAGAACTCTGACGTTCCTTGCACCCTTCTTGCAGTTAGGGCTGCCTCTGCCATGATAAAGCAAACTCCACTCTGACATACTTCAGTATCATTGGAGGATGCTAATACATGCAATGTTTATTTGTTTCAACCATATATTTTGAGCAACTATTATGTAGGAGGCAAGATTTGGCACCTAAGAAGTATAGAGATATCAAAGTCACAATCTCTGCCCACTATGTACCTAGAATTTGGTTGAGGAGAAAGAGCAAAGAGGCCAAAACAAGGAGAAAAAACTCCAGCACAAGTCTAACAAAAGAAATGTCTGTCACATGATAAGGCAAAGTGCTATAGACTTCAAAGAAGATAAGATGTTGGATTTTTCTTGGGAGGATGAGGAGCAGCCTCTGAACACTTCAGACAGATGTAGGATATTAGGAAGACATAGGCAGGTGAGAGACACAGTGATGAAAGTGGCTGAAATGTTTGCAAAATCATGTGCAGAGGCACAGAGGGAAGAAATCCAACGTGTTGGGTGTAGCTGGTACAGAAAAGAAGCTCTCTTTGATTGAATCTGTCTTAGCCTGGGTTTACACCGGAAAGCAGAACCTGAGACAAGGGTTTTGCATTCAGATGATGAGAAGTGACCCCAGGGAACAGGAGTGGGGCATGGAGAAACCGAAGCAGGGAAATGAGATAAGCCAATACAAGAGTGTGTTCTTGAGCTCAGCACTGCCATGGATGACTATGACTCAATTCTCCTGGGACCCTCTGAGGAACCCTGTAGGTAGAATGCATCTCAGAATTGTGCGCCTGAAGAACCCAAGAGAATAGCAGGTACCCACCCACTCCCATCCCACACTGGTCAAGGGTTCTTCATAAGCAGCTCCATCTCATTTCCAGGTGTGTGCATGTGTGAGTGCAAAGCAAGTTCCTGCAAGTGTCTTTCCCCAAGGTGTCCTAGGAGCCCCCAAGCAGAGAGAAACAGATGCTTGGTGCAGCTGAGATGACATGATATCAGGTTACATCTTCTCAGAGCTGGTCACACAGCAATGACTAGAGTAAGAGGCAGGCGAACAGGATGTAAGGGAGAATTCAAGGGTCGTCTCAGGACCATGGCCAGCGAGGCACCAAGAGATAATGCCACAAGGATAGGTTTTGGAAGAGATTATGTCTCGGTAAGAAATTTGAACTTAGTTAGCAATGGGTATACATTGCAAAACCTGATACCACTGCTTGTCATATGCAGAGAAGGGCAAGGTCTCCTGAGGGAAGTGAGTCCATCATGCTCACATTCATGTGCAGGATATTATGGTACATTATAGTTCCTTGTGACTGGCTAAGTGAATCTGGAGATTTTATTACAGGCTTTAAATAAAGTAACCCTCACCAAAGGGACAACTGACCTAAAAGTATCCCAATAAAGAAACTGTTGGTTAAGGATTTGACTAAAATTCCAGAAAACATGAATAATAACAGGAAAATATCAAAGCTGGTACTTCTCCTTTGAGCTAATTTGGAAGGCAGCTATGCTCACCACTATACCACCAACGCCGGCTTTGAGCTAATTTGTAAGTAAAAACAAAGACAATACAATAAGTTCTGAGAAGTCACCTGAAAAAAATTTAAACTGATACAAGTGATTCTCTGAAATATGGATTGATTTAAATTCACTACAGTTAATAATTAATCTTAACTAAAGTATGTGTCATGTGTCAAATTATTAACTAATGATATATGAACCATTATAATGATGAAGACACGTAAAATTTTTATTTCACATTTATCTTATCTTTTAGATTCATCTTTGGTGGGGCACTTGGTTGGCTTAGTCGGAAGAGCATGTGACTCTTGATCTGAGGGTCATGAGTTTGAGCCCTATGTGGGGTGTAGAGATTACTTAAATAGATAAAAACTTTAGATTAATTTGGGAACACACACCATAATATTTATAATAAACATGCAGAGAATTAACAGATAATACTCTTTTATTGATAGGGTTCTATGAACAAAAATGTTTGGAACTCACATCTCTAGGCCATAGGTCGTCAGAAGGAAAAGGAAGAGAGAGGTGTGTACAGGAAGAATTTTGGATATTGATTTAACTGGACATGGCAGATAAGTGGACGGTGGGACAAGATCAGGAAAGAATAAAAAGTAACTCGGGTTTTACACTAGGATGATGTTCAGGGGAAACATGGTGCAGAAATGGATGTCTAAAGGAAGAGGTGGTTTTGGGTGATGAGAATGAGGTGGACTACAGTTGGGCATCAGTGCATGGAGGTCTCTCAAGATGACCTATTGTGTTTTGGAATGGAAGATTTTCTGACTGCTTGATCCTCTGTCCTGGAATCAGCCACCCACAGCCCAGGCGGAATTTAGTCCTGAGGATCTAAATAGAAGTTAGTGGTGTAATTTTTGCCCCTCTCCTTGGTGAGAATGACAGGCTGACTTGCCATTTTGGAAGTGGCTATGAACCAGTCCGGGTAGGAGACAGACTCCAAGGTGGAGGTGGAGCCCTCCCTACTATGGAAAAAGAGAAAGGGCTTCTGCGCTTTCTTCTCCTTGGACATATCCATGATCTTTTTCTCCTAGGATTAGGAAAAAGCCTCATTAGAGAGGATTATTGAGAGGAAGGGTCTAAATAACACAGCCCTGAGATTGACTGCTTCCCCAAAGGGAGGGACAGAGGCCAGGGACAAAGGCAGGTGAAAGGACACCAAAGTGTCAAGACAGACAGCCCGCTGGCTCCCAATAGCTTGGCTCCATCCCAGCATCCCATAACACCAGGTGTTTCTGATTCTCTGAGACAGCACTATCTTCCCTGAGAACAGAGACCAACTTAAGTCTCTTCTGTGGGTGCTCCTGGTGGGCACCCATCTGCAGGTGCGGGCATCTCACAAGATTCCCAGCCTCCAAGTGGGTTGACATCTTACAGCGTTCATCATAACCAGAAGGATTCGCTTCATAACTACAAATGCTACCTTCGGTACAGAGACCACAGGCATATAATCCACAAAATCCAGACTAACAATCTCCCCGTCTCCTCTGCCATGCAGTGGCCTTTGCTTAAGTTGGAGCAGCCTAGCATCTTGGAGGACTTCTGGGAGTCAGTTAAAGAAAACTGAGGATGAAGAAACCACCATTCCTTGGCCTTTTTGAAACATTCTCATGGGTGTACCCTCCAGCTTTCGGAGAATGCTCTTACATTCAAATGAGTGTTACACCCATGCCCATTGACTTGGGGGTCAGCCAAGTCACATTTCCTTCCCTAAACTGAACAATCCAGGATTGAAAAAAATGTCATTTTTATTCAGCAATATGTTAAATGAAATAAAAAGTGCATCTCACAGTGCTTCTCTCATTAGCTGTATGATCACTCACCTTAAGCTGCAGAGTAGGCTGGCCCTGAATTTCTGCACAGAAGAGACAAAGATGGTTGCCCTTGATTCCCAAGTAAACTGGATTGCCTTTTCCTGCATCATGAAATTCTTTGTCTGTACATGTTGTTAAATCAAGACTGACTGGAAACACAAGGAAAAATGGAAACAGGTATCAGGTCCCAGGCAGCAGAAAGTCCAGTCCTTCTGGCCTGACATTACTCCTCCTAGCCAGGGGGGATGCTGAGCAGTCAGGACTCCCTCAGAAGGAGGGAGCTCCCATTCACCATGGAGCTGAGACCCTTCATCATTATCTGAAGCCCATTTTCACTCTCTTACTTTATATCAGAACCCCAGTTGTTACCAAGGCATATTGTGTCCCAAAAATAAAAATAAAATTCCCTACCACATTTGCAGCTAAATTTGATCATATGCTGAAGTTGTAGCCCATTAGATAAATGTGGAAGTGTTGTGTGGGATTTCTAGAAGCTCTGGATTTTGTGGATTATATGCCTGTGGTCTCTGTACCGAAGGTAGCATTTGTAGTTATGAAGTGAATCCTTCTGGTTATGATGAACGCTGTAAGATGTCAACCCACTTGGAGGCTGGGAATCTTGTGAGATGCCCGCACCTGCAGATGGGTGCCCACCAGGAGCACCCACAGAAGAGACTTAAGTTGGTCTCTGTTCTCAGGGAAGATAGTGCTGTCTCAGAAAGAAGCTCCTTTCTTATACCCTGTGTCTTCTTACTGCCAGCCTCAAATACTTGGTTGATGGTTGAGGAGAACTTGAGCTTGGTAAAGCAGAAAGCTAGAATCTTTGGACTCTGGGGGTATCATGGAGCCATCATACTGGCCTCAGCCTGCCTGCTCAGCCTTCTTTTTCATGAGAAAGAAATAAACTTCTTAGTTAAGTCCCAGTTATGTGGGCTTTTTGTTGCTATCAGCTGAATTTAATTCCCAGGAACCTGGGTGCTCTGCATCCATCGTTCAGGGCAGGGGGTTGAGAATTCTCCAGTCAACTTTCTTTATTGAATTCCCACTCAGGACAAGGCTGCATGTGGGCACCAGAGATTTAGCTGAGGATAAGACAGACATTGTCTTGGCCCTCGCAGAAAATGAGACCAAAATATGTAAGCAGAGAAATGACCAGAACCACAATAAATTGCAATGCCTGCTTTGGAGGAAGGGACCAAAGCCTGGGACAGTAGGAGACCAAATTTAGATAGAGGAATCAAGAAAGACCTCTCTGCAGACGTGAAGTTCAAACCAAGACCTTAAAGTTAAGAGGAAACTAGTATATGAAAACATGGGTGCTGGAGAGGGTCTGAAAGGAGAGTGTCACAGGGAAAGGATTGGTAAAGGCCCCTATGTGGCTCTGAAAGAAGACCGGTGCCCCTGAGATCTCCCCACTAGCCCCCACCTAGCACCCCCAAAACACAAACACATGGGAATAATACTGTTCAATTAACATCGTTCAGAAGGTCACTCTTAATGTTTTGTAGAGAATGGATGAGAGGCCACACAAATGAAGGGGGAGGGAGGGTGGTGAGGAGGTAATGGCAGTGGCCCAGGTGAGAGATTATATTATCTTAGAAATAAGGCATATTTTGCACAGAGACTCCTCAGTCTTTGCTGATGGATTGGATAGAGATTGAATCAAGGATGTCTCCTGCACTTCTGGCTTGAGGAAACAAGTGATGGTAATGCCACTAATAGATGGGGAAGACTGGGCTCATCAGCAGTTTTGAGAAGTCAGATCCATAATTCTGCTTGGGATAGATGAAGTTAGAGATGTCTGAGGGGACATCGAGAGGACATGGGTAAATTGTCCAGAGGGGACTTCTTGGTTGGAAGCATAAATGTCAGAGTGATAGAGGTGATACATCAATCTAAGAGACCAACTCCCAATCCCTTCAGTGGGGTTATGTAATGATTGCAGACTGAGATCTGAGGATCCCCAGCATTTGGAGATTTTATAGAGAAAGTGGAGCTGGAAAGGAGAATGCCAAGAGACTATTCCTACAGAAGAAGAAGATGGGGGTGTTCAAGAAAGAAAGAGTTATCGATTATGCTGACTGCAGCTGAGGAACCAAACATTGTGAGGACGGAGGAGCATATTTGGTGACCTTGGGAAGGGGAGCTTGAGAGAACAGTTCAGAAGTCAGGTTGTTTGATGCAAGCGTGAGCAGGAGATGAAGTGGAAACAAGTTGTATAGCCAGCTCTTCTATGAAGTTTGGCTACGACTAGTACATATCACTGTATAGAGATTGGTATACAGGGAAAAAAGAGTGGTAGTAAGAATGGAATGTGGGAATCAAGAGAAGGTGTTTAGTATTAAACTTAGAAATATTATATTAGAGCATGTCTGTCAGTGATAGAAAGGATCCAGCCGACAGACAAAGGTGGAGTATGCAGGGAAGAGAAGAATTAAATCAAACAAGGGCACCTGGGTGGCTCAGTTGTTAAGTGTCTGCCTTTGGCTCAGGTCATGATCCCAGGGTCCTGGGATCGAGCCCCACATCGGGCTCCCTGCTCCTCAGGAAGCCTACTTCTCCCTCTCCTACTCCCCCTGCTTATGTTCCCTCTCTTGCTGTGTCTCTCTCTGCCAAACAAATAAGTAAAATCTTTAATAAAAAAAAAAGAATTAAATCAAACATTGAAGTCCTAGCAAAAGGGAAAGAAGCTGAGACAGATTGATTTTTGCTGAGAGAAAGGAATATCCCCCATTATCAGAAGAGAGGACACCAAATTAGGAAAGTGTGTAGGTTTGATAGTGAAAAGATGATCAAGTTTGATTCTGGGGACATAGGTAGTGATATGGTTGAAATTTAAAGGAGAGAAACTCCAAGGAGAAGGTCAACTGCTGAAGTGGATAATCTCTTCTTATTTGAAGACATTTTCTCTTGATAAGAACTGCCAACCCCTCACACCCTCATCTCTAAGTGCAGGGTTTCCTCTGTGGAAGAGAGCCTCCTTGTCCTTCCTGTGGACATTGGGCTCCCACCCAGAAGTAGGAAAGGCCCAAGGCCAGGCTCAAGCAAGCTCAGCCCCAACCCCAGGGGAGCTGGTGTCCCTTTTAGAGGAAAGGGTGGCTTTGATTGTCACTCACCAGGTCTGACATTTCTGCTAAAAGGAGTTGCTATTAATGAATTTTCTTTCAGGATCCATACCATTTGTTGAGAATCACAAACACCAAAGATTCTGGGACTATCTACCGCTGAGAGAAGACAGAAAACACAAAACACATATGAGGTTATTATAAACTTCAGGACCCTAGCTGCATCTTGGTAATAATGGTTTTTGAATCCTTGGGGGTAGGCTGACTGCTCTGAGAAAGAGTGGCTATAAGGAGAAAGGGAGAGAAATAAGGCAGGAACTGGTTTGTGGATCAAAGCATCTGTAAGGATCTACCTGCATTTATAGTCCCCAAAAGATTTTCAAGATTTGTCTTTTTTCTAGGGATATCAGTGACTTGTCTTTTTCTGATTGATAGTCTCTGGGTAGTAACAAAACCAAAAATATTCAAATTGGTCATCAGTATGTTTCTTGGTTTTTTTTACCCTCTTTATTGAAATAAATAATAATTCTGAACATACATAATAAGAAAAGAGCTAAATGCTCCCAGATTTTCAAATGCAGGTTTTGCAATCTGCATATTTTAGCAATAAATGCATCCGTAACTGAGTAAATGATAGGGGCCCGGTACTCTATTGTCTTTGGTGAGGCAGGATGGAGATATTTCCAGGCTGGTTTGAAATTCACCACTCACATTGTGAGGTAGCCATGATGGTTTCAGGGCTTCCTGTGAAGAGGACAAGGTAGATCAGATGATACAGAGGAGGTTGTCAGCAGCTGGTCTTGTGGGGGAAAGAAAGAAGAAAAACATGTCATCAATTTCTCACTGCCCCTCCTCCACCCTGGAATTTTGTGTAAAAATTCTTTTGAGAAAGCTGCCCCAAGATCCTGTCCCAGATGCACATCCAACGCTAGAAAACCCCAAATGGAAACTTCCATCTCTGTCCTGACTGGGTAGTCCTCGTTCTCCAGACTCTGATGGCCTTGGGGTGCCCTCCATCCATCACATTTGTGATTGTTAGGAGGTTCCAGAGCATCACCTCAGGCACTGTTTTGTGCAACAAGTCTCCGGATTTAAAGGAAGGAATGGAGGGGAGACTGGGCATCTATCTCCATTCTAGCTTCCCATATGGCTGGTGAGTCACCACTCATCCGGACTTCAAGCTTGAACACCACTAAATAACTGGCAGAAAATCTGCCTCTATAACCCCCATCTTCACCCATTCTTCATCCAAAGAGGCATCACTAGGATCTCCATTATGTGTTTTGACTGTCAGGAGCCATCTGTCCCTGGGCTTTTGATTAAGGAACCAGGACAGTTCTCCAAGAAGGCCATAAACTCCCCATAGTGAGAGGCAGCTGTTCACATCCCTCCCCGCCTCAGGATCCTCACGGCCTGATTCAATAGTCATCACTGGACAGGGAGTAAGCAAATCACCACCTGCACTCTTGGAAGAAGGCTTAGCTCCTCCAGCACCCTGTGCCTTCCACCAAGGCCCCCCACAAGGCTCCCCAAGGCTAGATATAGAGCAGTGAAACAAGACTCCCCACAAATGGCATCTGAGTTGAAGTTACCTTTGTCCAAGAGATACTCTTGTCCTTGGATCCAAAGTTAAGGTTCTATCTGCATCCAAGGGCTCTGGAAAGTTGTCTAGGACTCCTAGTTCTTTTGCTGAAAAGACAGGAGAAACCAGAGACCCAGATGCAAGAGAAGATCAAAGGTCAATAGGTTTTGTGACTTCAGATTGCACCTGTAATCTGTTATTATGGACTATGGCTTCCTCTGGATTCAGGTGCTCTGACTTACTCCAACAGGTCCCAAGCATTTTATCCACATGGGGAAGGAAGGAGGTTCTGCCTCGCTTAGGCTGGGACTGCCTGACACTCAATATTTGCTGGTTCCTGGTGCCAGAGGAGTCAGTGAGTCTTTATGTAAATATCAACCAAGCATCGCTATGACTTGTCTATTCACCCTGAAGAAGTAGGGCATGCTAAGCCCTTAAGAGCAATAACCAGGAAATATAGTCATCAACACCAAGTTTGAGGAAAGAAACATTATGGGACTGCCCCAGGGCCCATGACTGGATTCTGTTGCCACAAAGTGACATACTGGAATGTTATTCCTAGGAGTGGAAGCCCCTAGTAGGTTTAATACAGACTAAGGAAGGGGTGGGTCCCCTAAGACCTGTGTAGCTTGCAACTACTCCTGGTCCACAGTCACCATATTCTCTGCCAATCTCAGACCAGGTAAAAATGCCCCAGTGTATGCTTCTCCAGCTTTTCAGAGTCTGTGTGCATGCTGCTTCTCCACTCAAGGGAGCCTCACCTGGGCAAAGCCAGCTCTTGTATACCCTGCCTATCACTGACTCTAGATCACTGCCCTGGATTAGTGGGAAAGGGAGCCTGGCTCCCAGATGCTCCACTGCTCTGAGCTAGCAGACACACATTAGGTCTTACATGAAGGAAAGCTGAGGCAATGCTGTTGATACTCTGCCCCAATCCCTTCAGGCCAATTGAGTTCGCTGTCACTGTGACAGTTGGCAGCACCTGTCAGCTTCATACCTCAAGAGTACTCATCTCAGCGGCAACCTCAACCAATGGGGGAAAGGGCTCGTGGATAAATGTCCCAGCCTCCCCAGCTTCTGGTGGGACAATGGTAGGGTTTCTCAGGGAGAACCCACACTGTGATAGTAGTTTAGTGTTCAAAAGCCAGAGACTTGTGTTCAAAAGCCAGAGACTTATATTCAAAAGATGTGTGTTCACAATTAGGCTTTGCAACTTTCAGACTTGTGTCCTTGGCAGAGTCCTTTCACATCTCTGATCCTCAAATGATTACTATATGAAATGCATTGTACCTTGTTAGATTATTGTGTGGGTTAAAGAAGAGTATGCAAAGCCCCCAGTACACGACAGCTTCCTGTAGCAACTAAGTCTTTAAGCAACTAAGCAATTAGGTCTTCTATGTCTGTCACCAGACCCCAGATCAGCCTATTTGTCTCTACCAGCCTTTTTGCTTTGACCACCAATAGCTCATCCTAGCTCTTGACATTTGTGCTACCTCATCAAATTATCTAACAACCTAACACCCTCATGTTCACACTGTATATAGTTCCAAGGGATTCCCACTGCACAGTGGGATGTGAAAGGTCATTATCATCTTGTCCTCGCCCCATAACCATTCCTTCAGGAGTGTGGAATCATGAAGCACCCACACCTAAATGTGCAGTAGGTGTCTCTGAGTCAAAACTAGGATTCAGAATCAATCTGTGGCTATGATGAGGAGTTGCCCTAGGTATCCATTAGCATGAGTTGATTTCCACACTCTAAGAAGAAAGTCTGGAGCCTATGGCATCACCCCCATGCTCCTTAGGTAGGACCAGACCCACTTGGATATCTTGAGGAGAGAGATTCAATGTCCTGCCATAAGGTACAAAGAAGCAAATATTCAAGATACATTGGTATGGATGATGCACGCAAACTCACTCAGGATCACAGCTAATAAAACGTGGATCCTTTCAGATTCATTATTTCATCCTATATATACGTGGAGCTCCATGTAGCCAGTGCCATTAGTTGAGGTGATGGGGGCTTTGATGATACCAGATAACCCAAGACCTCTACTTATGTCTCCCTAGTATGGAGGTGTATCCTTTACCACCAAGTGGTGGATGATCCTGAGAAGGGACACTGGGTCAAATATGTGAAAGAAATTTCTCTTTCTGTAAGAAAAGAACTCCATAGGAATAAAATCTAGAGATATAGCCCTCCTTCTCTCTTCAGGTAACCAGAACTGGATCCAACTTGGGATTTCATTCCTTTGTCCACCATATCTATCTTCACTTCACGTCAAGGTCTAACATGTCACCTCAGTTCCTTCCCAACTTCTATAGCACAATTCCCATCATTCAATTTGGCTATTGTTCACATATTGCCAAGTTATTAAATGGAACAGTCCTTGTTCTATATATCCTCAATATTCAGAGTGTGACCTGTGGACCAGTATCATTCGCATCACCTGGAAGCTTGTCAGAAATGCAGAATTTCAGGGTTTATCCCAGACTTATGGAATCAGGATCTGAAATAAAGGAGCATTAAAACTACTGAAGTATATGTTCTGTGCTGATATAACACACACACACACACACGCCATACTCTAGTCACAGCAGCACACACACACACAAAAAGAGGTCAAGACTCAGGAGCTGCCTATGACTGTAGGGGGGACAAGCAAACCAGATCTAGACCCACTCTTACCTTTCCCCAATCTCTGGGACCCATGAAGTGGGCTGTCTTGGCACTGAACAAAGTGGGGGAGGGAAAGATATAAAGAAAAGAAGTAATTCCTGGAAGGCTATGGCTGTGGAGAGGCCCTCTGGAGGATTTCCACTTTGAGTACTCACAGCTTGACTGAGCCAGGAACTCTCAAACTGGTTTAATGTAGACCAAACACTTTCTACCAGACAAAGAGAAAGCCTCTCTAGAGGAGGGCAGAGCCACTTAAATAATTTTACAAAGGCAACAAGCCACAAGTAGTTGAAGATTACCAGGCATACAAGTAAACAAGATCACAAGAACAAGAACCAAAAAAATAAACAAAGTAAGATAGCAGAAACATACACAGACATCAGATTCTGTAATTATTATACACAGAGCATAAAACAACTATCCTAACCATATTTAAGAAGCAAATGACAAACATGGATATATTTTTCTAGAACAGCAAACTATGAAATGTGGCAGATTTGGAAGAGTTAAACAGCATCTCTAGAATTATATAACACAATAAATAAAATGATATAAACCAAAACTTGTATTTAGCAACAGACAGCACACAGCAGAAGGAAGAATTAGAGAGTACCACTGATGGTATAGGAATTTCTAGCACTCACTGCCTCCCAGAAATGTCAATTTGAACAATTATCCATACATAAAAATACTTCCACAAGAGCTAAGAATTCCAGGTGAGGGATGACAGCACCTGGGTAGAACACAGAAATAAGAAAAGATGTATTGAAAAAAGGATAGGAAACATATTTTCACATTACTCCCATTGCCCAACCCCCAACCAAGCCAAGGTAGAGACATCCAACTCATGGGAGGAGAGTGAAGTAAGGAACTGACTTCACAGTGGATTCTACCATCAGCCCACACCAGCACCAGACTGACTCCTGCGGCCTGAGGCTCTGGGCCTATTCCAGCATCAGGCCAGTTCCCATGGCCCCAGACCTCTGATGGGCTCTAACCAGGCTACCAGTCCACCCCAGCACTGGGCAGACCCCCACAAACCCAGGTTCCAGGCAGCCTCCTGCTAATCCAGATTCCTGGCCCTCCCTAGCATCATGGCCCCAAGCTACCAGCCTGCCCCAGCACCCAAGGCAGCCTTCACAAATCTAGACTCCAGATAAGCTCCCATGAATGAAGTTTCTGGCCTGCCCCAGTTCCAAGCTGGTACCATTGGCCCCAAGGTTCAGGCAGTCTCCCGTGGATCTAGGCCCCCAGGCTGCCCTAGCACCAGGCCAGACCCCATGGCCTCAGGCTCTAGACAGGTTACACCCATAAACCTAGGCTCCGGGTGGGCTCCCATGGATGCAGGCTAGCAGCCCACCCCAGCACCAGGCTGGTCCCTAGAGACCCACTCTCCAGACCAACTCCCATGGCTCCAGCCTCCAGGCTAGCCCACATGGATCCAAACTCCAGAGTGGCCCTCATGGCCCTCAAAGCTACAGGTTACAGGCTAACTCCCATGGACCCAGGCTTCAGGGTGGCCTCCACAGTCCCGGCTTCCAGGCCAGCTCCCATAAACCCAGGCTCCAGGGCCACCCCACCACCAGGCCAGCCCCTGTGGACCCAGACATCAGGCCCATCTACACAGACCCCAGTCCCAGGCCTACCACCAGAGACAGGCACTGGGCCTGTGAACCCAGTGAACCCAGACACCAGACTGGCCCCTATGGACCCAAGTACCAGGTCTGCTCACCTGGTGACCCAGGCACCAGACATGCCTGTGAGAACTTCAGCAGCAAGCCCACCTAGAATCTCTGGACAAGCTGACTGGCAAAGGGCTTTCCCTTCCAAAGCCAGCCTACAAAAATTGAAAGAAGTGCCTACTTCCTTAAAGGCACAGACATCAATAAAGGATCACAAATAATCAAGGAAACACAACACCACTAAAGAAAACTAATAAAACTCCAATGACTGACCCTAAAGAAACGGAGATAAATAAACTGTCTGACAAAGAACCCTGAATAATCCTTTTAGAGAAATTCAGTGAACTACAAGAACACACAAGTAGACAACAAAATATGTGTATCAAATAACCACCTTACTTTGTACAAATTAAACTTATACAATGTTATATGTCAATTATATCTCAATAAATCTGGAAACAAAAAAAGAGTAAGAGAGAATTAATTAATTCAAAAATAAATGAGAAGAAATACAAATTATAGCACAGACACAAGAATGATGGAAAATACAGAAAAGGGTGGAAAAGATGTGGGGAATAAAGTGAGAAAGCTTATGACATTTATTGGAGTCCCAAAAGGAAAGATAAAGTAGGGCAGAGGCTCTATTTGAAGAAAGAATTGCTAGCAATTCCTCAAACTGATGAAGACACCAATTCACAGATTTAAGAAACACAATAAATCCCAAGTAAATAAAAAGAAATCCGTATCAGACTGAAATTGCATAGAATCTAAGACAAAGATAAGCTAGTAAGAGCAACAGATAATAAAAAGGCACTATCTTCAAGGAAGCAAAAGACTGACAACTAACTTCTTGATAACAACAATGGTAGTCAGAAGACAGTAGAATGATTATCTCAAACATGGAAAGAAAAAACTTGCAATGGAATTCCACACTCTGCAAAATTTCTGTCCAGATTAAAGGCAAATCAAAAACAGTCCCAGATAATTTAAAGCTCATCATGTGGAAAAGCTCACTTTGGGGAATAATAAAGGAGGGGCATCAAGCAGAAAATTCTCTATAGCAGAGAATTTTTTTAAAGATTTTATTTATTTATGGGGTGCCTGGGTGGCTGTCGTTAACCGTCTTGCCTTCGGCTCAGGTCATGATCCCAGGGTCTTGGGATCAAGCCCCGCATCAGGCTCCCTGCTCCACGGGAAACCTTCTTCTCCCTCTCCCATTCCCCCTGCTTGTGTTCCCTCTGTCAAATAAATAAATAAAATCTTTTTTTAAAAAGATTTTTATTTATTTATTTGAGAGAGAGAGTGACAGAGAGAGCACAAGCAAGGGGAAGGGAAGAAGCAGACTTCCTGCTGAGCAGGGAGCCTGATATGGGACTTGATCCCAGGACCCTGGCATCATGACCTGAGCCCAGGGAGAATGCTTAACCAACTGAGCCACCTGGTGCCCTCTATAGCAGAGAATTCTATGCTTTTTTCAGAAATAGCTCTTTGTGTGTTACTGAGCCCTCATGGAGAAACACATATATGAGGCACTAAGTGACCATTCATCCCAAACTGTCCGTTTTGATTTGAATTATGTCAGACTACCAAGCAATAAAGTTAGACACATGCCCAGCAGCTGTTCACTCTCAATCCAGAATTGAATCCAAGCAGAACTAGAGGGTCCATGTAAGCTATATGAGCAGGTAATGCAGACCCCCACGTCACCCAGCACAATTGTACGAATGCCCTTCCCCTAGCTTGCATTTGCAGTTGTATGGGGGGTCTCCCTATAGCCAGTTGAATGAGGAGAAAAAAGCCCAAGTATTATTTACACATGGGTCAGCTCACTATGGTCTATAAGGCAAAAATGGATCGCCAACTATTTTACAACCACACTTGGCAGTGCCTTGAAAAATAGTGAAGAGAGGAAATAATTCAATGGGAGTAGCTGGGAGTAATACTACTGGTCATTCACTTGGTATTGTTCCAAAGGAACAATACACACAGATTCCTGGGCAGTAGTCAATGAGTGGCTCGCTGATCAGAAGACTGAAAGATAAGGAGACAGGGAGTAAAGACATGTGGATGGACATATGGGAGTGGACATAAATGTGAAGGTGTTTGTATTATATGTTAATGCCCACCAGAAAGCATCAACCATAGAAGAGTCACTGGATACCCAAGCAAATAAAACCACTCTGCTGGTTGACATTAGCCAACTACCCTAAAACAGACATGATGGGCATATAAACAGTGGGAGTGCATTCTATTCCTTAAGGCCCTTAGTAAAATATTGATTCTTAGGCCCTGCTCTAAACCTACTAAGTTGGAATTTTGAGGTGAATGGGTTTTAATTTACTAGGTCCAGAGTGAGCCCAAACATCTGAGTTTTTAGTTCAGACCCCAGATGATTCTGATATTGTTTCAAGTTTGAGAAATATAGATACACAATATATTTCAGCACTGACACCATTACATAACAATGTTTAGGTGGCCAGGAGTGTTCCGCCCTAGCTGGGTCATCTGCTGACACCCTGCTAGGTAAGGATAGCCCCAATGATGGGAACGAGGTGGCTCATACTTTGCTCTGCTGTCTTGCTCTGGGTAATTGTTGCTGATTTCTCACACAGTGCTTCATAACATCCCAACACAAGGAGACAGAAATTGAAAGACCAAAAATCAAGATTATCATACTTCCAGTCCTTCTAATAAATGTCAGTGCAGTCCGCAGCAAGTCATATCCACTTCCAAGGATCCCTGCCTTTCCTTTTTTTAAGTTTTATTTATTTATTTGACAGAGACACAGCAAAAGAGTGAACACAAGCAGGGGGAGTGGGAGAGGGAGAAGCAGACTTCCCATAGAGCGGGGAGCCAGATGCGGGGCTCGATCCCAGGACCCTGGGATCATGACCCAAGCCGAAGGCAGATGCTTAACGACTGAGCCACCCAGGTGCCCCGATCCCCACTTTCCTTACCCATGAAAAGAATAGGCTGAAGGAAAATGATGTCATTCAGAAAAGTTATCCAAATCTTGAAAAAGGCAAAAGGATTATTGTGTGCCTTTTCAATGTCATATTAGAGCATTGTCTAATGGGCCCACCCAAAGGTCATCTAACTCTCTATAAATATAATTTTGTTTGACTTACTACTTCTATTAACTTGTAGC